AAGTTTAAAATATATTAAAGGTCTAAATTAGCGATTTAAATACCGAAGACATCAGAACTATGTGACCATACAAAGTATGACACTGACTGATGACAAAATTAAAAACCAAAATAGCGTCTAGTTTCCAGGACCTAAGTAGAAAGTTATCTATAGAGAATTGTAAGATTTACTATCTAAAAAGGAGACCAAAAAGTATAGCGAGAATCGCTACAGGTGATTCAGACTTTCTGGAGTCCATAAACGTGTTAAAGCATGAGCTTGAAAGAATATACAAGGAAAACGTAGAAAGCTTACGTATTAGGGCGGGGACTAACAAAATATAGCAGGAAGAAAAATTCAATAGTGAAGTCTACAAGCAATTCAAAAGCAGCAAAGAGAGATCTAAAATTAAGTATAAAATATAGTGAGGGGAAAATAGTAAAAACGATTTTCAAAAAATAGTTGTAGCTGACAATAAAGAACTGTGTATTATTATGGACGTGAATAGGGTGAGTTCCAAAGAGGTAACGACAGAGGTGCTCTGTACACCACAAAGAATCAAACTCCGGATTTTAGTTTTGAAAGTCCGTAAAGTTACTACTTACCTACTGGGGAACCATAATAATCATGTGTTTATCAAAAGTTTTCCTGTGTTAACATTGTAACGAATTTGTTATTATATATTTACTTTAATATCGACGTTTGTTTAGATTAAATTTATATTTAGAAACATACATAGCTTATAGTGTTAAATATGTATTGCGAAACTCCCGCCTATTTTCCAAAGTTGTAGAAAATTCTTGAGAGTAAGAATCAACAATATAAGTATGTATATAAACGCTTAAATGTTGCTTTTTATTGTTACGTAATCTGAATTTTCTAGAAACTCTCTACACCCATATAAATATAACCAACGCGACCGACCAAAAAAAAGAGTATCTATTATTAGTTTGCTATAGTCAGTGTGCCATAAACTTCGAAAGCTATAACTGTGATTAATATCAATCGGAAAACTTCAGATATTTGACCAGGAGCATTTACAAAGTTCGAACATTAAAATCATTTAACTTCAGTAGATTCTCATTGGACATTAGTATTTTTACGAAAACATTATATAACTTTATGGTGGAAAACTTGGCATGTGTGGCTGGTGAATAACGAAGGACAAAGCTAGCTAGCTCCCTGTTAAGTGAATTATACCTACGTCAACTTGTAATCAACTCGGTCATCGTGAACCCTCGATAAGATATTGAAAAATTCCAGACTAGAAAGAAGACTATATATTGCTTGTAAGTTTGGGAAACTTTTGTTTATAAATCATTGTTTGTAATAACTATTTGTAATAACTGTTATTGTAAATTGTATTGTTGTGTGTATATTAAAACGTATTTGTGTTTAGAAAAACTGTGTATCAATTTTGTTGGAAAATATCAGAAACTGACTATATATCAGCTTTTACTTAATTGCTAAATCCAAAGTACAAATTAAGTACTAAATCTGAAGTATCATTTAGCTCGGTTTCAGACCTTTCGAAATTGTAATACGTAACACCATTACTAATTACGGTGAAACAAGGATATTTTTACAACGAAGATATTGATGAAAAATTATCTGAGGAAATAACTGAGGAATCACTTTAGTCAGCAAACCGACATATTGCTAACGTTATGTAATAGGAACTAAGAATAATAAAAATTCATATGAAAAGTAAATGGTCCTTATACTGAACATTTAACTTATTCATTTGAGGGTAACGAGAATACCATCTCACTATAGACATATTCATTTAAATGTATTGAATTTTAGACTTTCGATCGACCTATTATGTGTTTTGTTTCAGTACTGTATGGCAAACGTGCTGATATTATTTGTAAGTTTTAAGTAGACGATGGAATAATTATCTACAGCATTTTTTGCGTAAATTTCGTAAAAAATCACAACATTTACATTGTTTAATTTTATAATAATTATGCCAGTAAGTAGGTTTCATTATTGAAATTAGTCACTTCAGTTGTAAATAGCGGAAAATATATCGATTTTTAAGTTAATAAAAAATAAATTTCACGCAAACCATAAGGTATTACTCTTTTTCTTTGGTTTCGTTTGGTGTTGATAAGCTATTTTGTTATTGCAAGTTTAAATTAAAGAAGCGACTGAGGATAAATACAAGCGTGAGGCAGATTTTATTTCAAAAGTGTATTCCACTGACTCCTATTAGAGAAATTCACTCACATTCTGGGTCCTATAGCTACATGTTATCAGAAGATAGTGCCTTAGCCCAAATAGATATTTGTCTTTTTATTTTCATAATTTTACATTAATTGTAGTTTCCTTATCAATCAATTTTCACCACTACAGAAGCTTATTTTTTCATCATAAAGTATGTAACATTTTTTCCTAATTTCGACGGGCCAAATGTTGTATTTCTAGTACTTCTTGTTTTGTTCATTCTTTTCAGAACAGAGGTTAATTTGTGTTATAACCTACCTGTTATATCAGCGATGCCGAGAAAAGAAAACCCGTCTTCAATCGAGCATTCGCAGCGTTTCAGTACAAAGTCGCAAAACACAAAAGATAAATTCGCTTGTGAAAATTTGTACACAGATGGAACACCAGCCTCTGAAATTGGGAGTATGGAAAAGTATGAAGAAGTTACAAGGAAAAGAAATAAAACTGAGGCAATAAAAGGGAAAATCAGATCATTTTCCAAACATCAGTTCTATGTCCTTGCCACTTTGTGCTACGGGAATTTCTGTATAGCTGCATGCGTTTCTTTACAAGCTCCATTTTTTCCGAGAGAGGTGAGTGAACACCAGATAAAAACTTAACTTAAAATTTTTATACTGCAAATGATGGTTTGTCTTAACCAATTTGATAAAAAAATGTGTATTTAAAAATCATTTATAGTTTAAAATATAAGAACTTCACCTAATACACAAACGATCTTTATGTGGACGTACTGTCAAACAAAATTTAATAAAACACTCACTTAATCTTTCCAAAAATACTTAGTAGTAGTTTAATTACACGCCGAATTAAGTAATTCAAGAATACTAGTCTATATTTAGTTCCGGATTTAGATATCTAATGAGCAATGTTTCTTTAATTCGTAATAAATACTAATTTTATGCAGTTTAAGATAACTTGAAACCACCCAGTAGTTACAAGATTATCACTGCATGTTTCAGAATGTTGGTCAACTATATTCCGCCAATATTCTTACAGTAGATCCTATTTATACTCTAGAACACTCAGAGCATTTATAAACGTGTTTTCTTTATTTGCAAGGCATATTTTCCGGTGAATTGTATATTATATGAAGAGTTTTTTGGTACATTTATGGGTACGTAGTTAAAATATAAACTTGAAAATATAGGTTTATGACAAATTCCAGTTTCATATTTACCACCCTTTTTGATAAGTAGATAAATTTTGTTTGCTTTTTTTCCACGACGAATTTAGCATTTCCATGTTGTTTATTTAAATATTGAAGAAATTTGCCTTTTCTCCATTCTCAAATACCGTAAAACTGACATTCACATCTCTTTTATACAACAGTGAATTGAAATCTTTAGGACTTTCGTTTAACTAGATCTTTTCAAGATGACTGTAAAACAAATGTTGGTAGACTACTTTCACTTAAGAAGGAAACGATCTTTATGTGGCTTTACTGCCAATCTAGAAGTAATAAGATATTCTAACGTAATACAGGAACGATCTTTATGTGGCTTTACTGCCAATGTAGAAGTAATAAGATATTCTAACCTAATACAGGAACGATCTTTATGTGGCTTTACTGCCAATCTAGAAGTAATAAGATATTCTAACCTAATGCAGGAACGATCTTTATGTGGACTTACTGCCAATCTAGAAGTAATAAGATATTCTAACCTAATACAGGAACGATCTTTATGTGGCTTTACTGCCAATCTAGAAGTAATAAGATATTCTAATCTAATACAAGAACGATCTTTATGTGGACTTACTGCCAATCTAGAAGTAATAAGATATTCTAACCTAATACAGGAACGATCTTTATGTGGCTTTACTGCCAGTCTAGAAGTAATAAGATATTCTAATCTAATACAAGAACGATCTTTATGTTTACTTACTGCCAATCTACAAATAATAAAGTATTCTAACCTAATACAAGAACGATCTTTATATGGACATACTGTCTGTTTGTTCGTAGTGTTTTTTTAAAAAAAAAAGCTACACAGTGGGCTATCAGTGTTGTGCCCAGCAAGGGTACCGAGACCCATTTTTAGGAAGATTGTGATTTTGTGATGTTGTTGCAATTAGAAAAACATTGTATATTTTATTACGTAATTATCTAGACAAACGAGCCATTGTAATTAGAACACATATAATGTTTAGTTTTTACGTTTCCTTTAAAAACAAAATATATTGTTTTTGACTTACATTAGGTTCAGTGATATGAAAAAAAAATATTTTCGTAGGCAGAAGAGAAAGGTGCGACGCCTTCTCAATACGGACTGGTTTTTGGGGTGTTTGAACTAACTATAATTGTAGCATCTCCAATATGCAGCAAGCTGGTATGTATTGTTTTTATTTCATATTCAGATTGCAAGTATCTTTGCTCTATTTAAAAAGTGGCATGTCGTGGAAAGATTGCAAAGTCATTTCGAAAGCAAGAAAGCCCAAATAACAATAAAAATATCGCAAACATATTGCAGCCTCTGATTACAGATATTATTTTAGCACCAGCTTTAACAGTGCTTCAATGGTAAAGTGGGCAATTCTCAGTCATCATGCATAGGCCTATTAACCTTTCGAATCTACGCTGAAACACACCCAGTGATATGTGTTTGTTTGGTCTAATTACCATTAGCAGAGATGTAATTGTTTTCTCAGCCTACTGCTGTGATAAATTTTTATCGCAATAAACACTTTACTCTTAATTTTCTAAAACTCAGTCCAAAGCTCCAGTTAAAGGCAAAACTCATTTGCATGTCTAAATAAGTGACAACTCTATTCTATTTGAATAACAATCGACCTATTTTTAGGTATAGATAACTTGTTCTTACTTGACCTTATCTGAGCAGCAAGCATTCACACTCTTATACACGCCCAGGAATACTGAAGGAATCTACACATTTTACTTATATCACTTATTGATTTTGTCCCCCGGTGGGACAAAGGTAAGTTTACTGATTTACAACGCAAAATTCGGGGTTCGATACCACGCGGTAGACACAGCAGATAGCCCAGTGTGGCTTTGGTATAAAACAAACTTATTAATTTTACTATTTCAATGCTTATTTATTAATTTGCATAATTTAATGCTCCACTGATTTCACTAAAACTAAATTGAAGCTAACTAACATAAGATCTATAATCAAGTGGTAGTTCTGTACTTGCATAAACAGTAGATCAATATCTAACACACGGGATCATCGAAATACAAACGAACTTCGTAATTGAAACTAAACTATGATAACTTGTACTAAGCCTACATAGTTGGTAACTCTGTAATGAAATGTAAATTAAACATGTCACATTTGTATTGAGCAGTTGATGTTTATGTAATTAAATCTATATCAAGACATCTGGTGAATTAGCTCATAAGAGCTTGTAGACTATTATTATATATTATTTATATTTTAATTTTTCTGTTTTTCTTTTCTCTTCTTTGTCTTTGTTTTTCATCTCTCTTTCTTTTCTCTCCTTCCTTCTTTTTTCGTCTCCTTTTCGGTTTTTGACGTATTTCTTAATATATACAAATATATATCATATAAAAATTATTTTATTTAACATGTCGCTATGATTCACCACATTTGTTCATTCTTTACTCTAAAACACGCTTACGCCTAGTTTGAATTTAAAGTAGGACACTTTCATAGGGCAAGTAGACTGATATAAAGGAATTGCAGTCAATTTCTTTCCTTGGAGGTATCCTTAGAGCAACAAATGGACTGGTGGGAACAGTCAGATAACTTTACGGGTAAGGGTGAATGTAAGTTAATGATCGGTGCCACTTCAGAAAGTTGGGTAGTGTGATATTAAGAAAGCACTAAAGATATTTATTAAAAATAGTATTGTAACGGTTTTTATCGTTGGACGGGTCTTTTTTTATTATTATTATTCACTAAAAATAATGATAAGTCCAGGCCAACGTGACTAAAAAGAAATATTTTTTTTCTACCATACGTTCTTCTAGTTCAATGAATGATAGGCGTAACTCAAATTAAAAGCAGACACAAACTTCTCAAATTTCCTTTTATATCTACGGCACAATCTCAAAACTGGCTAATATACTCGCTAATTCAGTAAAATATTCACAAATTATCTCATTGACTAACTAACTCATTAACTCTGGTGCATTTATATTATTATAATCTTTTTTTCCACCTCTACATCCCATGTTTCACAAAACTTCGAGACATCACGTCAAATGTAGATAATCAAGAAATTTCTAAGAGTCGCACATCATCACTACATCATGTTGTACATAATTGTACAGCAATTCTATATTCCCTTAACAGAGCCATGTACACTGATATAATACTATAGCACATAATACTAGCAAATTATGATAGAATGTCTAAATAAAACATTTCACAACAATAGTTGAAACGATAGTGGTTAGGGAACTTGAGAAATAAACTGAGAGGATGCACAAGGAGTTTGTAAATGAAGAATTAGAGCATAACACTTGTAATAACTTGTAAGATGAAAGAGCTGTGGACAGGAGAAGAAGAATCAAAAGTGAGGCACACATAACTGGAGGAGACCCGTCAAATCACTCAAGATAGATTTTTTGCAGCTCTATGACAAGAAGGCCAAGGATAAATATTTCAAAGTCGGACAGAACGTCTTGGTTGTGCTACTTACAGACAGCAGCAAACTCACCCTGCATCGGAAAGGACCCTTTGAAATGCAGGAAGTAGTCAATAAAATGGACTATAAAGTGAAAGTGGATGGGAAGACCAAGATCTATCACACCAATCTATTGAAGCATAATGGATATTGCAGGTGTGGCTATCATAGATGCAGAACTAGAAGACAGTAATTTTGTCATAGAAGATGAAGACCTACTATATCTAAGACCACTGGGTGGAGATGAAACGTACAAAGATCTCAACATCAGTGAAGAACTGACTGACAAGCAGAAGAAAGAGCTACAAGATCTACTGTACCAGTATGCACAGATAGACCAGTCCATACAGACTTTGTTCAACACAAGTTCAAGGCTACGATCAGGGATACAGTCAAGGTAAAGTCTACCAGACGATGACTGCAAATGTTGGCGCAGATTATATGAGAAGATGTTATGTACGAACTGAAAGCAGTCTTTGTATATAGTGTAATAAATGTTGTATTTTTCTTGAAGAGGGACTTAGTGTTGGATATACGCGATTGTTTTATTTGATTTTTAAGTATGGTGTGATCATTGTGATTTAGATTGTTTACATAGCGCGAGTATCAAGGTAAGTTAGTTTTAGAAGCAATAGATATTGCAGGTTTGCTTACATAACTGTTTATGAATCATTTGTCGTAAATTGATATAATGTTACTCGAACCTTCTGAAATTTTCTCGTTGCTTTAAGTGAGTACTGTTACATCACAACGTAACATAGTTTGTAGAAAGTTCTAAGCCTCAGTTGGGCAATATGCATATAGGAGACTAAGTTAGTGCAAGTTAGTTAAATAAAGAATCCGGTCCTTAAAAACCTGACACTTTCATTCTCTGCTGACTATGTGTTCAAAGAAACTCACCTTTTGATGAAATACTTTACACTTCTTTGGATATAGTTTAAGATTATCTTTCCTCAACCACTCAATTACCATCCTTTGGCCTTCATAAGCATTATTGAAGGTCCTCCTATGTGCAGTTATGTCATCTAGGTAGATGAATATGAGTTACAAAATAGTTCAGACAGAAGAATTACTAAATCCAAATGGCAACAATCTACTGACAGCAGTAAAGGTGGTATACTTTCTACTTGCTTTGTAGACTTTCACTTGTCAATATCTACCCTTGAGATCCAATGTTGAAAACCATTTTGATCCCAACAGAGCATTCAAAATAGTCAATTCTTGGAAGTGAGTAGATATCCTTCTTTGTAACTTCATTCACCTTCCAGAAGTCCACACGGAAGCTTATGGATTCATACTACTTCACCAGTACAATAAGTGAGGCCCAAGGGCTAATATGTTTTCTATCTCTTTGAAAGCCGCAGTTTCAGTATTAATTTTGGGAGATGTTTTACTTGTTAATCCTAAGTCATGAAATCCACTAAAGAAGGTGTATTGATATTCCATAAGTAAGTTTTGTAACCACCAGCACTGATCAGCTGTAAGACCTCAAGAGTACTTCTTTTGAAAATGAGGTAGCAAGCTGTCTTTATGTAAGGGTTTGGCATTGGATTTCATACATCTTTCCTCAAAGATGAGTTCTTATGATGTTATTTGATATGGAAATACTACTTGTACAACCTCATGTCTTGCTATGTACCATATAGATTTGCTGTATTAATGGTCCTAATGATTCTTATTTTTTAGATCCACAAGAGCTCTACTAACAATAAATCCACCAGGACATGCTGGAGTGTTTGATCTATTACAGCCTAGTCACTAGATGTAAATATATTTTAGCAGCTCCTGGTATGAGAACCTTATTTCTCAGTAGTACAAGGACTGCTCTCCTTGTTGTCAAGGCAAGTCCAATCTTTGAAGCACTAATTGTCACATAGTGCACAGTGATTTGCGGTTAACTGACAATTGATCTGATTTTCTAAAACATTGAATTTCTTATTTCAATTTGGACAGATGAGATATTCTCAGCTGATCTTTGCCCTCTAAGTCCAGCTAATTCCTGCTTCCCAATATCTGGTTAACCTTTTGTTGTACCTCTGATCTGGTTAGACTCAAAGACTCATCCTCTTTGGTGTCCTAACAACTGTTATTACTCACAGCCAGGTCTCCCATACGTATAACATTTTCCTCTTTCAGGTATCTTACAAGAGGAGTTTGTATTCCCTACAAGCTTTTATCTGGAATTCTTGGCAATATTTTTTTCAAGTTATACTTAAAGCACCTATTGTCTTGTGCTTTATTTCCTGAATTCTGTGTAACTAATTGTCTAACTTTCAGAGGGTATCTTTAGTTACCTATCTGTAACCTTAGTGGCTTCTAGTTCCACCACCAACTGCATAGCTTCCTCTAAGGATGAGCACTTACTTTGCTTCAGCATAATCTGACAATCCTAATATAGTATGGCATCTATAAATTGGCTAGGTGCCAACAAATCCATCACTTCATGAGAAGCATCTGAGTAGAATAATTGTAGAAACTTTTCCAAATCTTCTTCAAGTTCAGTTAGACTTTTGTTCTCTATTTTAGAATTCTGCTCTTGATAATTCTCTCTGGTGAAACAAGTTATTAAGGTTCTAAGCTGGCAGTCTACTCAAAGTTCTCAAAGCTAGTCCTTTCAAATAGGCAGCAAGATATATGACTTGTTTATCACTATTCTGTTGACACTTGAAATTATTTCAAACCGAGTCTAGAATGACGTACATGATACCTTCCTATC